GGGGCGTCCAGCAGACATATTTGGTTAATACCGAATTGGCAACCTGTACAGCACTGTGGTGGAGGAGGAGGGGGGTGTGTCGTCCGGGTTGTTCTGGGAGCTTCTCAACCTCTCCTCCCCTCAGGCCAATGTTTACATAAGTAGATTAAACGTAATGAGTGTATTAGTGGGAGTAAGGTGATGCTTAACGGCGCCTTAACCTTTATTAATGAGGGGAGGTTAAGTGAGTCAGGTACAGATTACATAAGGTTCAGATTCGTTTAAGGAATAATCGGGGTTAACTAAGTCAGGTTCTGTGTGTTTAGGTTAAGTTAAGTTTGGTTAGGTTAAGTTAGGTTAGGTTAGAAATACTTGTGGTCGCCTCAAGTTAACCTAACACCTGCCTCTCCTGACCTGACTAGTATAGGTTTCTCAGCCGTGAGGGATTTTTTTCCCAGTTATCAAGTTCTCGACTCGACACAGTATTGCAGTGGTCGGCACAATTCTCGGGTCTGCATGCCTTTAACCCACACAGCTTTACCTACGCCCACACTCCTTTTTACCTACGCCCACACTCCTTTTTACCCACGCCCACACACCTTTAACCCACGCGCCCACGCTTTTTACCCACGCCCACGCGTCTATGAGCTCATCACCCTCCACTCAAAACAACACTCCTTGTAATCACCTACCAGGCACGCCCACACCCCTAACTACCGTGCCACGTTACCCTTCGATTGGTTTAACACACACGCCACCCACGCCCCCACCACATACATACACGCGCCACCCACCACACACACACGCCACCCACGCCCCCACCATACATACACGCGCCACCCACCACAACACACACGCCACCCACGCCCCCAACATACATACACGCGCCACCCACCACAACACACACGCCACCCACGCCCCAACACATACACACACGCCACCCACGCCCCACCACATACATACACGCGCCACCCACCACAACACACACGCCACCCACGCCCCAACACATACACACACACACGCCACCCACGCCCCCAACACATACATACACGCGCCACCCACCACAACACACACGCCACCCACGCCCCAAACACATACATACACGCCACCCACCACATACATACACGCGCGCCACCACCACACACACACACGCCACCCACGCCCCCAACACATACATACACGCGCCACCCACCACAACACACGCCACCCACGCCCCAACACATACATACAGCGCGCGCGCCACCACGCCCCCAACACATACATACACGCGCGCGCCACCCACCACCACCACAACACACACACGGTCACCACACGTCACTATCGGGAGGCATCAGAATATTTCACCATTTTTTCATTAACGTTCAGTTGTTTTCAATAATATGTAGAATTCCTTTCCCTATTATATACACCGCAATATGTGTGTGTGTGTGTGTGTGTGTGTGTGTGTGTGTGTACCGTATATATGCATAAAGGGGAAAATACAGTATGCATCATGTTTATGTATGTATGTATATCCCCATTCCTCCTCGCCCAGATTAACGAATTATAAAGACCGAATTTTTCAAAGACTAAATACCAAGACCGGGACTTCAAAAGACCTAATTTATTAAGACCCCAGACTTCAAAAAGACCGTATTTTCAAAGACCAAAACTTCATAAAAAAAAATGACTGAATTTCACAAGTGTGGGAGGGAGCCTTTAGCAAAAATATGTAATTAAGGCCTACTAAAATCCCCCCCCCCCACCACACATTCTCTACCCCACACAATCCCTCCCCCACCCCACTACCTCTCTCCCCCCCTTTACCTATGAAACACAGACAAACAAACAAACAAACACACAAACATACCGACAGTAATCACAGACCACCAACGACCTTACACACACAAAAAATGGCGGTATAATTGCACCGTGACTATCATATGTAACTAAGGCGCATTCTACCATAACTTGTAAACAAAAGAAGAAAAAAATATTAAATTCCTTCTTATCCCTAACCTAACCTAACCACTTACGCCTCATTCCTCCCCCACAATTACCTAACTCCCCAGGGCCACCTATTCCCTTCCATTCCCCTCCCTATCTCCCCTTCCTCCCCCCTTCCACGCATATTTTCTCCCCGTCTCCTCTCCCACGTAATTTTCCTTCACCTCCCTTCCCACACCCATCTTTCTCTCCCCTTCCTCCCCCTCCCACGGCTATCTCCCTCCCCCTCCCATGGCGATCTTCCCCCTCTTCCCCTCCTACACAGCGGAAGATGAGAGACAGGGAGGCGGAATAAATGACAAGGCGATATGAATAGCACGTAATGATTCAGAGGAAGAGGAAAAAGGTGAATACTTGATAACAGGGAGATGAAGAGACTTAAAACTGGTGTATATATGATGCATGTAACACCACCTACGATGAATACAAGGAATAAGAGATAGAAGAAAAATAATCGAGAAATAATGTCAAAATTGTGAAAAATACGAAAATGTGTAAAGAAGAAAATGTGAAAAATAGGAAAATACTACGAAAAATAAGAAATTGTGAAAAATAAGAGTGAAAAAATAAGAACTGAAAACAATAAGAAAATGTGAAGAAAATAGAAAAAAAAAAACAACGAAGATAAATTAGGTTAGAAAAAAAGTGGTTTTCATATAATTGACGGCACGTTATAGTGTAGTTAAGACTTCTATATACATAATCCGACACTACACTCGACAACCACCACTTCTCCCAACTGTAAAGTCACAGCTGGGGATCGAACTAGCGACACTTTGAACAGGAGATAAATACTGTATCCACTCCACCACCGCCGCTACACCCATGACCTCAACTAACGTACGAAACTTCGACCACTTGAGCGATAACTCCCGATACCGTAGCGTTCAGAACTACGAAAAAATAAATTGTAGGGAAATGAAAAAAATAAAAAAATAATAATTAAAAGGACAAATTAATAAAAAAACGCGGGAAATATTTCAAGACAAATTAGTAAAAGGTAAACAAAGACATCGAAGAACAAAAACTTTGAAAATACAGGACAAATATATGATAATTGACCAGGATAAAAACATTAAAGTAAAAACAAACAATATACAGAAAAAATGTGAAACAATGATACTTCAACATTGTTTTTAATATATATAAACAGATACAAAAATATATATACAACACCAACAACAACAATAATAATAATAATAATAATAATAATAATAATCCAACCTGTACAGTCAAGATAATTTATATAATTTACACCAACAATAAAACATTAAAGTTGAAGCAGAAGTTATAAAGGAATTTTATTATTTATGTCATTACTGTGCAGGGAAAATATATTACTGGTATTACATTACTATTACAGATAATATAAAGCTACCTTAGTATTAAAACTAGACGGATGCATGACCGTGTGTGTGTGTGTGTGTGTGTGATTTTGACTAGACAATCCTTCAAGACGTTTTGCCTCACCCTGTATGATCATGTCTACGAGAATGGCCAAAAATCATCTAATCCCCCCCCTTTCTCCTTCCTTCCTCCTCCCTTTCCTTTACCCCTCCCACTCATCCTTCTCTCCCCCTCCAAATTATTCTTCCAATCCATTTACCCTCTTCCTAGTTTCCTACCTGTCTTCATTCCCCTTCCTCCCGACCCCTCTTTTTTTCATTCCACTTCCTTCCTTCCTTCCTTATAACGTTCTCCTCTCTTCCTCCTTCCCTTCTCTACCTTCTTTTACTCTATTCTCCTGTCTACCTTCGCTGCCCTCCTATCCCATTCCCTCCCTCTCCCTCACTCCCTCCCTCTTCTCACTCCCCACTCCACCAATCTCTTCCTCCCCCTCGATCTGTTTAACCACGTTCACTGCCAGACAGGAAGAGGGACATTGGCCTGTGTGTTCAGCCCCTCAAACAACTCACGCTGATCCTACCACACAGCACATCCCTCCAGTGCTGTGAGTGGACGACACAGCACATCCCTCCAGTGCTGTGAGTGGACGACATAGCACACCCCTCCAGTGCTGAGTTAACGACACAGCACATCCCTCCAGTGCTGTGAGTAGACGACACAGCACATCCCTGTGAGGTAAGAACACACCATACCACACCAACGTTGCGAACTTACGAAACAGCAAGAGTTAAAAAAAAACATATTTCAAGTACAGATACAAACACCCCCAACACGACCCACCTTCCAAAATAGGTTGACATATCATTTCCGCTCTCCGCCAACACTGGTGAAGGTCAGGGCCATCAGAATCTTCCTCCCTTCCTGGGTATTGATTGCCCCTGACTAGTACTTATATAAATCCCTTGAATAAATATCAATAAAACCCCGCGCATATAAATCTCTTGAATACAAATAAATCCCACAAAATATTAATCCCCCCCTGAATAAATCTCCACAATAAAAACAGAATATAAACATCATCTCATTGATTACTACACACCCCCCACACCCCCCTACACCACCAAACAGCTATACACAGACCGACATCCTTCACACAAACTAATCCCCTACACAAAAACACACTACACTCCCCCACACACAAACACACTAACTCCCACAAACAAATACCCACTATACCCCCACACACAACTACACACGCCCACACCCCTTCACAAACGCACTACACTCCCACACAGCTATACACAGACTGACAACCTACTGCTACACATTCCCAACAGACACAGCACACTAACATCCTCACAGACACACTACACCTTCACAAACACATTAACCCCAACACAAACACACTACACTCCTCATACAAACACACTAAACAGTTATACACACAATGACACCCCACACACAAATACACCACACCCCTACACACACACACATCCCCTACACCCCCCACAAACACACTAACCCCCACAAACAAGCACATTACACCCTCACAAAGACACTAACCACAAACAAACAAACACACTTCACCCCCACAAACACCACCCACCACCTACCCTGTACAGATTACCAGGAGGCTGGGTAGAGAGCCAAGCCTGGCCAGTTGGACCATTAGGGAATTAAACACTTACCAAGTAGCCCCTCATGCTGACCTCGCGAGCAACCTCCATACTGGGACCTTTAGTACCTCACCTGGGACCTCTAGCACCACACCTGGGACCTTTAGTACCTCACCTGGGACCTCTAGCACCACACCTGGGACCTTTAGTACCTCACCTGGGACATCTAACACCACAACTGGGACATCTAACACCACACCTGGGACATCTAACACCACACCTGGAACATCTAACACCACACCTGGGACCTTTAACACCACACCTGGGACCTCTAACACCACAACTGGGACATCTAACACCACACCTGGGACATCTAACACCACACCTGGGACATCTAACACCACACCTGGGACATCTAACACCACACCTGGGACATCTAACACCACATCTGGGACCTAACGCTAACTTAATCTAAACAAACTTAACCTAACCCCCACAGTGGTTTAATCAGGTGGAATAAGCTGGTGTGTGTAATATTCATGTGATCCATATATTCTCAATTCACTCATCGTTAAGGAGCTAAGTTCTCTCTCTGACATGGGCGCTCATGTCAAACAAATCTATCATTCTTCTCAACTGTTTTCAAATCAGTGGATGACGGACACGATTATGATGTGGTTTACCTCGACTTTAGCAAAACCTTCGACAGGGTCTTCCACAAAAAACTAATACATAAAGTGGTGGCTCATGGAATTGGAGGAGAGGTTCTAAACTACTAGATTACGGCATGGTTACAGGACAGGAAACAAGAGTCAGTATTAATGGCACCAAATCCGATTGGAGTACCCCAAGGCTCAGTACTTGGGCCATTACTATTTATCATATACATACACGACATAGATATAGGTGTAAGCAGCAACATAAGTAAATTTGTTGACACTAAAATAAGGCGTGTAATCAAATCTGACGAGGACTCTGCAAAATTACAGAATATAATTTTTTTTTTCGCAAGGTCTGAAAAATGGCAGATGAAATTTAGTGTGAACAAATGTAAAGTACTGGCCTTGGATATGTAAACGGAGAAACCAGATATCAGATGAATAACGTTAAAGAGAAATCCGACCGAGAAATATTTATGGGTAATAATAAGCAGGATTCTTAAACCAAGACAACAATGTGTATTTGCTCGAAACAAGGCTAACAAAGTACTCGGGTTCATACAAAGGAGTTTTAGTTACAAGACTAGCGAGGTTATCCTAAAACTATATCTTGCGCTTGTTAGACATCACTTGGATTACTCAGTTCAGTTCTGGTCACCGTACTACAGAATGAATATAGAATCCCTAGAAAGCATACAGAGGAGAATGACTGGACTAATTCCGGGAATTAGGAACCTTGAATACAGAGACAGATTAAAGCATCTTAATTTGCACTCCCTCGAGAGACAGAGTGAGGGGCGATATGATCTAGGTGTAAAAATGGAAGTCAGGTCTAAACAACGGTGATAAAAACAAAAGGTACTCAAACTATCCAACCAGGAGCAAACTCGAAGCAATGGTTTTAAATTAGACAAATTTCGATTTAGGCGCGAGATAGGTAAACACTGGTTTGGAAATAAGAGTAGTGGATGAGTGGAACAAGTTACCAAACATCATCATGAACTCGAACACGCTGGATAGCTTCAAATATAGGTTGGACGGATATACGAGTGATAGAGGTTGGGTGAAAACGGAACTGCCCATTATGGGTCAATAGGCCCGCTACACTTCCCTCCATTTCTATGTTCCTCTGGTGCCATATATAACCACTGATTTGTATTCCTTCGTCTAAAAACTGGATACATAGATTATTGACCTTCACAGTTACAATATAGTCTATTTACAAAAACACGTGAAATATAAACAAAAATGGGGTATCGTGTGACCTGACCTGATTTCACCGACGCGGTGGTCATTAAACCGCTGAGGCACGGTGGGAAAATGGTCAAAAATCTTGATTGGGTTATCAATAATTTGACCTGACCTACAAAAAAATTAGTTCCCCCAAGGTAGGTCATTAAACAGCTGAACTGACCTGACCCATAAAAAAATCACTAATGGGTCACCACACAGCTGAAATATAACAAAAAATTAACAATAACAATAATACAATAATCTCAACTAAAACAACATAAAGTAGGACATCTTTATGCTATGGTGTGTGTGTGTGTGTGTGTGTGTGTGTGTGTGTGTTTATAAAGTCTGTAGCCGCTCGATAACTTTTGAGAGGCTAAGCGGGACGAGGGAGTTTGGTACACAGTTTTACGTCAAGTGATCATCAAGACTAAAAGGTCGAAGAACAAGGATAAGACCAAGGTAAGGTAAGGTTAGGTCAGGTTCCAGATCGATAAGGATTAAGGAGTCCCATTAAAAACGTCCTCTTTGTACACAATCCTCAGAATAATAATAATAATAATAATAATAATAATAATAATAATAATAATAATAATAATAATAATAATAATACTCTCTCTCTCTTCCGGGATGGTGATGGTTGAATCAGCTGGGGTGGGGTGGGGGGGGTGGGGTGGGGGGCGGGGCACAGCCTTCTTCCTGAGACAACAACATTTGCATCAGTACATGGCCGCTGCCCTCCCGCCGCCCACACACTCATTCTCTCCCTCCTAGGACATATGCCAGTACCCCCTCACCCACGCCCACCCTTCTCCTACGAGGACACATACCAGTCCCCCCCCCTCACTTCCACGCCCATCTTCCTCCCCATCCTCTCACTCTAAGGACATATACCAATCCTGCTCTCCCACGCCTGCCTGCCTACCTTCCTCCCCCTCTCACTCACTCTCACAGGACGTGTACCAGTTGCCCTCTCACATGGGTTAACATTCACACGCTTATCTGTCTCACACTCCCTTCCTTCGTCGCCTCCCTCTCACATTTTAGGACACCCAAGCCTCCTCTCCCACTCCCTACCTTCACATACAGGACACTCACTCCCTCCCATCCCCCTCCCATTTCTAGGATAATCTTGTTAGTCCCTCCCACAGTGCCTTCAACTCCTCCTCCCCTCATTTCTTACTCCACCACACCTCCCCTTAGACTTGCTCCACCCGCCACCCTCCCTAAGACTTGCTCTACGCCACCCTCCCCTTAGACTTGCTCCACCACACCACCCTCCTCACTTGCTCCACCACACCACATCCCCCTCAGCTTTCACATTCCCCACCACCAATCACCCCAACCACATTCTACCTCCCTCCCCCCCCTCTGCCCACCACCAGCCTTATCCATCAACACCTTTGAGTAGTCTCTCCTTCAATTTTATCTACCGTCTTCCTCAATCTTGTCTTCCCCACCAATCCAACCCCCTCCCCACCCACTACTTTAAGTACCCTCCCCCACCTGCGTAGATACCCTTTCACCAACATCAAATCTCAATCCACACATTTAAATCTCCCCATACGTGTATATTAGTGTCTCTCTCTCTCAACCATCTTTACCCTGTTCTCTCCACAGCCCCCCTCCTCCTCCTCCTCCTCCTCATCATTACTCCCCCCTCTTCCTCCCCTCTATTTCACTTCCCCACACATTGCCTCTACCTCTCTCTATCCCCACACCTTTTCTCCCCCATCACCCCCTACCTCTTCCTCCCCCATCATTCCCCACCTCTTCCTCCCCCATCACCCCCTCACAACACCCTCTCAACTTTTCGTCTCCACCAGCCCCATCTCCCCCCCCCCCCTCAAGAGACGTGTGGGAGGGTGGGTGGACGTAGTTGAACGGGGATACCCCGCCGTTGCGCAAAAGGGCCCCGGGAAAAGCCAGAATGAACATGTAAAGTGAGGAGAACTCGAAACGATCTAGTCTTCCTTACACCTGTCTAATACGACCCTTCTTCCCTTGTTTTGATCCGTTCCTTCCATTGTTCAGGTACACTGCTGTGGTCCGTTCCTTCCATTGTTCAGGTACACTGCTGTAGTCCGTTCCTTCCATTGTTCAGGTACACTGCTGTAGTCCGTTCCTTCCATTGTTCAGGTACACTGCTGTAGTCCGTTCCTTCCATTGTTCAGGTACACTGCTGTAGTCCGTTCCTTCCGCTGTTCAGGTACACTGCTGTGGTCCGTTCGCTTCCATTGTTCAGGTACACTGCTGTGGTCAGATTTCCTTCCCGTGTTCAGGTACACTGCTGTGGTCCGTTCCTTCCATAGTTCAGGTACACCAACAGCGGTCCCGTTCCTTCCATTGTTCAGGTACACTGCTGTGGTCCGTTCCTTCCATTGTTCAGGTACACTGCTGTGGTCCGTTCCTTCCATTGTTCAGGTACACTGCTGTGGTCCGTTCCTTCCATTGTTCAGGTACACTGCTGTGGTCCGTTCCATCCATTGTTCAGGTACACTGCTGTGGTCCGTTCCATCCATTGTTTTGGTCCGATTCACCCATGTTTCCTCTCCCATTGTGATCTATTCCACCCCCACTCTCGACAAATCCCGTGAACCCTCTACTACAATTCTTTAGCGTAATGTCACTAGTAGGCAACACTGGCACTCATGTATAAAAGACCACAGACTCAGGAGGTAACAGTTTAAAAAAAAATAGTGTTGTGAAGTATAGTCCAAGGAGATCAATCAATACACCACCCACCCACAACCATAATACCAGGGTGGGCTAACCAAGGGTATACTGTAGACCATTACTCAATGGCTGGAAGTTGTGCGCACGTGTTTAACCTTGAAGGCTTCTGGTCACAAAATGAATGTAGGTCTCCCAGCCTGTGATTGGATCTCTGGTAGTCGCCGAGGGATACCGGTGTGCTTATGTCCACTTGATTTATATGCTAGGACAGAGTATAACACAAGGTGGAGGTGGTTTTTGCTGCTGATAAAATCTTTAAGGGATCATATCTTTGGTTAATAAACGTGAAAATTACTGATTATCGAACTTGATCTACATATTGATGATGTGAAGCTCCATGCTAATTTTTATTTTGATCTGCGGAAAATTACTCGAGTTATCGCATGGACAACACACATTTTGGACGGACGGAAGTGATGAACCTATATGCTATCTTGAATCCTATATTATAACGGAGGATGAAGATTAAAGTGGAAAAATATA